CAGAGGTCAGACGTTTCTTGTAGTTGGCCACCAGATTTGCACACATCTCAGGAGAGATTTTGTCCCACTCCTCTTTGCAAATCGTCTCCAAGTCATTAAGGTTTTGAGGCTGACGTTTGGCACCTCGAACCTTCAGCTCCCTCCACAGATTTTCTATGGGATAAAGGTCTGGAGACTGGCTAGGCCACTCCAGGACCTTAATGTGCTTCTTCTTGAGCCACTCCTTTGTTGCCTTGGCAGTGTGTTTTGGGTCATTGTCATGCTGGAATACCCATCCACGACCCATTTTCAATGCCCTGGCTGAGGGAAGGAGGTTCTCACCCAAGATTTGACGGTACATGGCCCCGTCCATCGTCCCTTTGATGCGGTGAAGTTGTCCTGTCCCCTTAGCAGAAAAACACCCCCAAAGCATAATGTTTCCACCTCCATGTTTGACGGTGGGGATGGTGTTGTTGGGGTCATAGGCAGCATTCCTCCTCCTCCAAACACGGCGAGTTGAGTTGATGCCAAAGAGCTCCATTTTGGTCTCATTTGACCACAACACTTTCACCCAGTTATCCTCTTAATCATTCAGATGTTCATTGGCAAACTTCAGACGGGCATGTATATGTGCTTTCTTGAGCAGGGGGACCTTGCGGGCACTGCAGGATTTCAGTCCTTCACGGCGTAGTGTGTTACCAATTGTTTTCTTCGTGACTATGGTCCCAGCTGCCTTGAGATCTTTGACAAGATTATCCCGTGTAGTTCTGGGCTGAGTCCTCACCGTTCTCATGATCATTGCAACTCCAGGAGGTGAGATCTTGCATGGAGCCCCAGGCCGAGGGAGATTGACAGTTCTTTTGTGTTTCTTCCATTTGCGAATAATCGCACGAACTGTTGTCATCTTCTCACCAAGCTACTTGGCAATGATCTTGTAGCCCATTCAAGCCTTGTGTAGGTCTACAATCTTGTCCCTGACATCCTTGGAGAGCTCTTTGGTCTTAGCCATGGTGGAGAGTTTGGAATCTGATTGATTGCTTCTGTGGACAGGTGCCTTTTATACAGGTAACAAGCTGAGATTAGGAGCACTCCCTTTAAGAGTGTGGTCCTAATCTCAGCTCGTTACCTGTATAAAAGACACCTGGGAGCGAGAAATATTTCTGATTGAGAGGGGGTCAAATACTGATTTCCCTCATTAAAATGCTAATCAATTTATAACATTTTTGACATGCATTTTTCTGGATTTTGTTGTTGTTATTCTGTCTCTCACTGTTCAAATAAACCTACCATTAAAATTATAGACTGGTCATTTCTTTGTCAGTGGGCAAACGTACAAAATCAGCAGGGGATCAAATACTTTTTCCCCTCACTGTATGAAGGCTGGCATGGCACACGAACGGGTTTGTGCGGTCCGCAAGCACCGTGCCCGGTCGCCTTTGTCTCCCAATCGCGTTTGTTCACGCGCCGCAACAGCTGCTTCTCTTTAGGTGTTTGAGCTTCGTGCTGCTATACGTGGGGGTGGCCCGGTACACGTTCGGATATTATTGGCAACCGACGTTAGCCGTGGCCGAGAATTGGCATAACACGCACGCACAGACATAATGACTGTGCGTCATCTATATCTCTCTGTGTATGTGCGTCTGTACAATGGCAACCCTCCAAGCAATACCGCAGATTCAGATCAGATTCTCCCCTGCTTTATATTTTCTGCATTGGCCGGTATCGTCTCGTTCGGGTTGACTTGTGTCCTCACGTGCAGACCCCCAGCACACGTGGCTTCTGCAACGAGTGCGCCAGATGGACAGCTGCCGTCAGATGCATCGCCACTCTCTCAAACGAAGACATGCAATTCTTGCGAAGAGCCTACATTTAAACATCGGCCGTCGTTCGACATACATTGGCGGTGACGTCACCGCAATTATTGTGCCAGGCTAGGTGCACTTTGAGGCCATGCGTGTGCAAAGACAAACATCCCCCAAAGAGACTCTTAACAGATTGTTGGCTCAAGGTTTGTTAGCGAGCACCTGGTAGAGGCTGGCACGGCACACGACGGGGTGGGTGGCCAGCACCATGCCCGGCCGCCTTTGTCTCCCCAGTGGCGATGTTTACACATTGTACCAGCTACTGTATTCATTTTAGGCTGAGTCGATGTAGGGGAGGTCCAGGACTGTTTCAGATAATCGTCGCTGGTATTGGCCGTGAGCGGGAATCGAACTCGGGTCGTCTGCAGTCCGAAGTGCAGCGCGCTAACCACTGCGCGACCGATCCCCACTGCACTACCGCCACACACGTGTAAGCAACACACGTGTACATACACACACTCACACACACACGTGTGTGTGAGTGTGTGTATGCAACGCTCAGGGGCCCCCTATCTCGCTCATCTGTCGCTGAACACAGTCACGCAATGAAGTCACCAGCCCGCAGCCCGGCACACACGTCAGCTACGGTAATGCGAGCACGACGCAGCTCAGCCTTGCTCATGCATACACACATCACACTCTACACATATAGAAAGACACAGATCCCCCGTATAGCCCTCACAGACTTTTGGGGCAAGTGCTGTTAACGAGCAGCACCTCTGAAGGCCGGCACGGCACACGAGGGCGTGCAGATGTTTACAGTCTAGCAACAGCGGCGATGTTTACACACCACACCAGGTACTCATTTGAGGCTGAGCCGACCTAGGGGAGGCCCAGGATCGGTTCAGAAAATCGTCACTGGTGTTGCTGGTAGCACCCTGCGCTACCACTACACTACAGCCCTCCAGCACACGCATACATTACACACACATACATTACACATACAGTACACTATATGTATGCACCACACGCATATCTTAAATCACAGCCGCGTCCCCCCGTGTCACCATTCACAACCTGCTCGTCTGCTCCTGCTGCTGCCATTGTATTGCCAGCAGCAGCATCATCAGCAGCAGCAGTTGCAAGAGTCACGTAGCACGCGTAGGCCTTCCCAGCGGTGGTGTATAGCTTCCCTGATGTGTATACACGGACGCGGAGCGAAACGTCGGACACGCGTATTACATCTGCCCGACGTTGCGTTCCACGTGCTTCTCGACGACGAACCGAAACAACTTCTAGGGCGTGAAGCGAAACGTCGGACATGATGCCGAACAGCCCGCGATTCAACCCGAACACACGCGTAACAGAGCCAGCGATTCGTGAAGGGTTTCTCGCCTGTCACTCAGTATCTACTGATAGAGTAACTATCCATGCGCCAATTTAAAGACTTGCTCATCAGGAAACATTTTTTTAAATGCAATTCTCACCGGACCGCTTTGGTGTAAAGCGCAAGTCCCCAACTCTCATGCCACTCCATGTGACCATGCAACCCATGCAACCCATGCAACCCATGCAATCCCCATGCAACCCATGCAACGGGCCGCAGAGTAACGGTCACTCCAGGCTGCGTCCCTTCAACGGACGAGGAGCAATCGCCAAACGTCGCCAACTCTCTCCCCTGGAGCCCTCTCGTCGTGGCTAGCGCGACCTCCTCCACGTTAACAATCAGCTCCCGAACATCATACGCAAAAAAATGAAATCTACCGGCATAAGGGCAATTGGCCGAAACGTCGCCTGTTAAAAAATGTTGTTTTTTTCTCTTTAAGGCCACATGCAATGTTATTGTACCGGTGCGCGAAGCGTTGTTTGTGTTGTTCCATCGCGAGAGCCGCGCGCGTTCGAGTCACGACTCGAGGCGCGCGCTCGCGCAGCGAATTCGCGATGAGTCCACGCGAGCGCCGCGCGCGGCTTACGTAACGGAATGGACGCCCGCGATAACGCAGCCAGCCAGCCAGCCAGCATCATCACCACCACGATCATAGCCAGCGATGATGGGCACAGCCAGCAGATTCAGAGATGGGCAGACGAGGAAGACACTCTGTGGTGATGGCGCTTGACTGCTGATTGACTGTAGCCGGGAGAGCGATGTGTTGTGTACGCGGAGGACTGCACTGCGATGTGTATGCGTGTGCACTCTTTGTTTACCCAGGCCTATGCATTGTGTAGTTCACGCTCGTTTGTTAGTGCGCGCAGGGCGGTGTGGAAGCACGTCAGCAATGGTGAGACAAAGGCGGTCGGGCGTGGCGTTGGTCACCCACTTCCTCGTGTGCCGTGACCGGCCTTAATAGGTGCTCGCTAACAGCACTTGCCCCTACCGTGTGTACAAAAGCTACACAGGGGAAATGTCTTTATAATGTATACAGCATGGCTTTCTTTTCGTCCGGAGAGCGGTGGTGCAATGGTCAGCGCACTGCGATACCAAGCCAGCGGTCGCAGTTCCATTCCCGACCACGGCGAACATCAGCGGTGACTGATTATCTCAACCGGTTTTGGGCTCCCCCCCACCCCTAGGTCGACTCATCCTGAACTGAACACCCAACAGACGGGGGATGGGGTGGGTGGGTTTGTATTTGTGTCGGAAGAAGCGTGGAAGATTCGTGGTTGGGTTAATGGGGTTGGCCTAGAGGAGCGGGGGGGGGGAGTGATGTGTGGAGGGGGGTGAGCGAGAGAGGAGAGATTCGTTGGAACGTGGATGGGGAGAGAGGCACGGGGAGAGAGAGAGGGGGGGGGGAGAGACGGAGAGAGTGGGGAGGTGGGTGGGTATTCGAGAGGGGTTGAGCAATCAGCTGATTATACCGCTCTTACGCTATTGGGCGACTCCCGGCTGTGCGTGCGTGTGTCTGTGCGTGTGTGTGCGTGCGTGTGTCTGTGCGTGTGTGTGTCTGCGCGTGTGTGTGCGTGCGTGTGTCTGCGCGTGTGTGTGCGAGCGGTGGCGCAGCGGTTAGCACGCTGCGCTACGGACGCTGGACGACCCGAGTTCGATCCCAGATCGCGGCCAACGCCGATGACGATTATCAGAACCGGTGCCGGGCCTACCCTAGGTCGACTCAGCCTCCAATGAGTACCTGGTGCGGCGTGTAAACATCGTCACTGGGGAGACAAAGGCGGCCGGGCGTGGTGCTGGCCATCCACTGCCCCCTCGTGCGCCTTTTCGGCCATCATAGGTGCTCGCTAACAGCACTTGCCCCAACAGTCCGTGCAGGCTATACGGGGGACCTCTGTCTTTGTGTGCTGTGCGCGTGTCGTCACGACTCACGCTGAAGAGAAGTTGCTCTCCATCGAGAATCTAAACCCGGGCACAGTTGGTGGCTGTTCGCGTCCAGCGTCAAGCGCGCACCCCCCCCACCCACCTCTCTTCCTCCCCCACCGCCCCCCTCCGCCCCTGGCTGCCCGGATCCTGGATCAGCCCAGCACTTGTCACTTGCCGAGGGAGTGAAGAGAGACGGAGAGACACACGGAGCGAGAGAGGGAGAGAGAGAGACTGCTGGGCTTAGGTCGGGATATGCGCTGCGTGCGCGCGATTCTGTGCGCCCTCGTCTCGTCTCATCAGCGATGTGGACCAACGTCAATCAAAACGTCCAGGGCATAGGCGCTCAACAGCAGCAACAGCAGCAGCAGTGTCAACCGAGACCAGCTCTGCAGACCAAGAGACACGCGCTCACTGATGACTATCAGGTCACTGGACAAGTCTTGGGGCTCGGAGTGAACGGGAAGGTCCTGGAGTGCACAAGCAAGGGGACGGGGCACAAATACGCGGTGAAGGTGAGTTGGGGATGGCTCTCGGCTTTGGGGGTCACACGGGGGGAACGGCGAGAGGCTTTGCTTTCGTGGAGACACTCGCCGATCAACATAATGGGTTCTGTAGCTAGGGGGGTGGTGGCTAAGAGTTTTGAAGGATGCTGAGTGTCAATCTGTATTGAGTTACTTGGACGGTGGTGGTGGTCGCGGTGAAGATGGGATCATTGGGGTAAAGGCAAGACAGACAAAATCGATTAATTAGGGGAGGGGGTGGGATTGTGTGCGCGAGTGTGCCACCACCATTATCACCACCATCATTAACCACCGTCACCATCACGTTACATCACCACCACCACCATCACACGTAACATCATCACACATAACATGGTCATCGCCACGTACCATGCAGTGATGACGTAGCCAACCGATTAGCACCGCTGGCTACGTACGGTGCGAAAGAAGTTCAACACATACCAGGGTCACCATCATCACCATCGCACACAATCATCAACGTCACTATCAGACACGCTCAACCAACATCGCCACTGTCGTCATCACACCATCGCCAGCGTCTCTCCCATCACGCACGATCACCACCATCGCCAACCATCACACATCACAACATCGTCATTATACTCGCACGCTTGCACGGACCGCGTCTCGCGATGTCCGTGGGTGGTTCACGCGTGGCCGAGTCCCGCTCTGCGTGATCGCCCAGCGGCCTTAAAAACCTCTCCCGTTCGCTTCCGCTGCCGCACAGCCGCTGCACGACCCCGCCGGAGTACACGCGCACGCCGCTGCTGCTGCTGCACGATCCTGCAGAGGCAACAGCAGCAACAGATCCCCCGTGTAGCATCAACAGGGCTGCATGCAGACGAGCGCTGATAGCGAGTAGCACCTATGAAGGACGGCGCGGCACACGAGGGGGTGGGGTGGTCAGCACCACGCCCGGCCGCATTTGTCTCCCCAGTAGCGATGTTTACACACCGGGTACTCATTTGAGGCTGAGTCGACCTAGGGGAGGCCCAGAACCGATTCAGATAATCGTCACCGGTGTTGACCGCGAGCGGGAATCGATCTCGGGTCGCCGGGTTCGTAGCGCAAGCGCGCTGACAGTTGTAACACAGCGCTCACCGATGCACCCACTGCTGCACTCTCATGCATTCACTGCTGCACAAAAACAGCATACACTGCTGCACACTCACTGCTGCACACAACTATGCGCACACACAGAGACAGGCGACGCTAACAACCACAGCTTCACAACTGCTGCACAAGGCACGCACTGCTGCGAACGCTGCTGCACGAATTACACACTTGCATCCACCACACACTCCACCCACCACGCACTGCACGTGCTGCAAACTACACACACACACTGCAGTCGTTACACATACCGCCCCGACAACCATTGCTCTCACCTTGCAGCACGAAGCCCCTCTCCCGCTAATAATTTACCTTAATAGGTGCTCGCAAACAGCACTCGAAGGCATATGAAAGTGTACTTGTGTATGTTATTACAAGATTTTTCACGTGGACACCTGCGTGTCTGCGTTTGTGTCGGGTTCCCTAGTTAAGGTTACTCTCAGTATGGCAAAATGGTATTCTCTGTGATTCATTCTTACCCCAGATCTCCCTCGCATAACAGGGAGACAGGAAGCCTCTGTGGGCTCTAAACGTAGTGTTTTTTTTCTAGGAGGCTATATATCCACCGACACATATACAGTGAGGGAAAAAAGTATTTGATCCCCTGCTGATTTTGTACGTTTGCCCACTGACAAAGAAATTATCAGTCTATAATTTTAATGGTAGGTTTATTTGAACAGTGAGAGACAGAATAACAACAAAAAGATCCAGAAAAACGCATGTCAAAAATGTTAGAAATGTATTTGCATTTTAATGAGGGAAATAAATATTTGACCCCCTCTCAATCAGAGATATTTCTGGCTCCCAGGTGTCTTTTATACAGGTAACGAGCTGAGATTAGGAGCACACTCTTAAAGGGAGTTCTTCTAATATCAGCTTGTTACCTGTATAAAAGACACCTGTCCACAGAAGCAATCACACAATCAGATTCCAAACTCTCCACCATGGCCAAGACCAAAGAGCTCTCCAAGGATGTCAGGGACAAGATTGTAGACCTACACAAGGCTGGAATGGACTACAAGACCATTGCCAAGCAGCTTGGTGAGAAGGTGACAACAGTTGGTGCGATTATTCGCAAATGGAAGAAACACAAAAGAACTGTCAATCTTCCTCGGCCTGGAGCTCCATGCAAGATCTCACCTCGTGGAGTTGCAATGATCATGAGAACGGTGAGGAATCAGCCCAAAACTACACGGAAGGATCTTGGCAACGATCTCAAGGCAGCTTGGACCATAGTCACGAAGAAAACAATTGGTAACACACTACGCCGTGAAGGACTGAAATTCTGCAGCGCCCGCAAGGTCCCCCTGCTAAAGAAAGCACATATACATGCCGGTCTGAAGTTTGCCAATTAACATCTGAATGATTCAGAGGACAACTGGGTGAAAGTGTTGTGGACAGATGAGACCAAAATGGAGCTCTTTGGCATCAACTTAACTCGCCGTGTTTGGAGAGGAGGAATGCTGCCTATGACCCCAAAAACACCATCCCCACCGTCAAACATGGAGGTGGAAACATTATGCTTTGGGGGTGTTTTTCTGCTAAGGGGACAAGACAACTTCACCGCATCAAAGGGACGATGGACGGGGCCATGTACCGTCGAATCTTGGGTGAGAACCTCCTTCCCTCAGCCAGGGCATTGAAAATGGGTCGTGGATGGGTATTCAAGCATGTCAATGACCCAAAACACACGGCCAAGGCAACAAAGGAGTGGCTCAAGAAGAACAAATTAAGGTCCTGGAGTGGCCTAGCATGTCTCCAGACCTTAATCCCATAGAAAATATGTGGAGGGAGCTGAAGGTTCGAGTTGCCAAACGTCAGCCTCGAAACCTTAATGACTTGGAGAAGATCTGCAAAGAGGAGTAGGACAAAATCCCTCCTGAGATGTGTGCAAACCTGGTGGCCAACTACAAGAAACGTCTGACCTCTGTGATTGCCAACAAGGGTTTTGCCACCAAGTATCAAGTCATGTTTTGCAGAGGGGTCAAATACTTATTTCCCTCATTAAAATGCAAATCAATTTATAACATTTTTGAGATGCGTTTTTCTGGATCTTTTTGTTGTTATTCTGTCTCTCACTGTTCAAATAGACCTACGATTAAAATTATAGACTGATAATTTCTTTGTCAGTGGGCAAACGTACAAAATCAGCAAGAAATCAAATACTTTTTTTCCCTCACTGTAGATAACGAATTACCATCCAACCTTACCTACCTACATACCTACTACGTCACAACCCAGCTACCTCCACAAACCACCCTGCCAATCACCCACACAGCCACTCACCCAACCTACGAACCGCCCATCCAGCCACCCACCCACCCACCTACCCACATACTGACCTATTGACCTACTAAGCCATCCACCCGCTGATCTACCCACCCACATACCCATCCACCCACGTAACCATCCACACAGCCACCTACACCACCTTTGGTTTCAATAACAAAAAACCCCTAATCGATTTCGTCAATAACACGGCCTTAAAAATACAATTACACAACGGGTGACGTTTCGGACAATGGCCCTTCTTGACGGCGCATAGACGGGCCAGGCCTCTCTATGGGGCTCTGTCGAGAAGAGCCATGAATGGCAGTGTTATTGACGCACGTGTTGTGTCTGTCCTGCGATTTGTGCTTCTTCACTACTGCCATAGCAGCAGCAACAGCATCACCAAGATCATTTGCATTCAGTAGACACCCAGGTCGGATAATGTGTTTTTTTAGGAGGTGGGGGGGGGGGTATCAAATGTGATACCTGGAGCAGAATGACGAGAATCATCACTCACCCCTCACCAATGTTTCCACCTCCTCGTCTCAGCCCCCATTCACTGCTGCGCTGTGTCGGTCCAATTCGAATCCGCAGCAGCAAACCCCGCGTTTGATTTACACCGCTGCCTCCCGCGGCGAGGTAGGATCGCGAAAGAGAGAAATGAGAGAAGCAACGCCCATGGGTCCGAAGCATTGGGGATTCAGCAGCAGAGCATCTGGTCATCATGACGTGACATCTGCAGTCGCAGGTGTTTCATTTGTAGCCTTTTTATTTTATTTTTAGCATTCGTGGTGGTTACCCGACCGGCAGAATGGACGGTACTTCTGCGCCACACACTTCACCAACTCACACTGACCAGTGTGAGTTGGTCACGTAATCCTCCCACCCCCACCCCACCACTCACCATGACATGTACTGCGTAGGGGAGGGCGTCATCCAGCAGCAGTTTGAAAAGATGACAGTGCTGTACGTGTACATCTTGTATGTGTAGATGCATTCATCCAGCAGTGGAATGATCACGGCTTATGAATGACTAGCTGTACCTACCCGGCTTCGCCCGGGACTTGGATCCACCACGCCCGGCCGCCTTTGTCTCCCCGGTGGCGATGTTCACACACCACACCAGTTACTCGTTTGAGGCTGAGTCGACCTAGGGGAGGCCCAGGACCGGTTGAAATAATTGTCACCGGTGGTGGCCATGAGCGGGAATCGAACTTGGGTCGCCGGATTCGTAGCGCGGCGCGTTAACCACTACACTACAATGCGTTACGCTTCCACATGCGCGGGTCACGTGACAGATTTGACATCACAGCTCACTTGCCGTGCAAAAAAAAATCGTTATTGAGCTCCCCCCCCCCCCCCCCCCCCCAAAAAAAAGTGTATTTTTATAATTTTTGCATGGTGTAAAGTCTGGAAAGTACCCACATGGCAAATTTCAAGTTTGTTGCATGTCGGGAAGTTTCTAAACATTTTGAACAGACACACATAATCACAACTTTGCCTTTTATATATATGGAGATGAAGTTGCTGAACACAGTCCCTCAAGGTTTATCATGCAAAGTGTGCAGCAATGAAAGAGTGCTCGTGGTATGACCGTATAGCAAATT